TGACTCCCACATTCCTCCTTGCCAAGGACCCAAGAACAGGCTTCAGGTCTCATCTCACTCGGTGGCTGACCACTCTCCTCTTGGAAACACTCACTTCCTGTGGCCATCACCCTCTGCCTGTGCCTCCTCAGCCTCCTCCCCGGCCTCCCACCCGGGCCATGCCCACTCTATGCACCAAGATGCTCTCACAGTGGTCACACAAACACTAACACACAGCTGCACGTGGTCATGCACATGCAGTCTCACATCCACTCTTCCCCAGGCCCTGCCACCTGTTCACACAGGAGCACAGACTCACACAGCTGTTTACAGCCACATATAGTGCTGGTAGTCATATAGACACTCATACTAGCCATAAGGGACACACACCTTTTCATAAGTATGCATACTTTTGCTCACATCTAGGCACTGCTACACGCCATGTACCATGTGGGCTTACTCACTGGGTGACACACTAACCGCAAAGTGGGCTGGGTATGGCAGCCACAGGGCTCACAGCCCTGGGGGCCTCCCAGATTCCAAAAGAAGGGGGCACAGTGGTCACAGTCGTGCCCCAGTATGTGGGGGCGGCAGAGGCACTGCCCGCTGACCTGGTTGCAGAAGCAGGCTTCAGCCTCAGATGGGCACTGTGTGGGAACAGTGCCTTGAGGATCACAGCTACAGTCTGCAGGGAGGGAAGGCTTTGCAGGGTCTGTGAAAAGGAGAACCTACTCACCCACCCTGGGATGCCCCTACCCACTCTACACACACACTCACGCCAGCAGCCCCCAGGACACAGGGCACTGCCATAGAAGCCAGGCCTGCAGCAGGCACAGCCAGGGCCATGACTGTGGTGTAGGCAGTGCTGGCAGTATCCATGTGGGGGTCACAGGCGGTGGGATCATGGGGACCAATGTTGTTACATTGGCAAGGGCGGCATGGACTTCTCCTGGGGTTCCCTTCTGGCCAAGCGTGCCCAAAGTAGCCAGAGGAACAGCGGTCACAGCGGGGACCTGGAGAGGAATAGGGTTTGTAGAGATTGTCTCTTGGTATCTTCTTGTATGCTTGGGGCCTGAGGGTCCCACACACTAAGTCAACAAGTCTGAGTTGTAGTCAGGAGGGCAGAGGACACAATAGCTACATAACAGCCCATCTTCCTGGCTTACACGGGCCATGGGCCATGCCCTATGAATCCCCCCATTTGACCCTCTCTTCCCAGAATGGGAACTACTTGAGGGCAGGTGCCCAGCTTGCAGCTCAGCAAACAGGCAGCACTGGCAAAGATTTGCCACATGGACCTGATGGGGTTGTAAATGAATGACCAGGGACAAGGATCTGTCATTGTAAACCATGTCTCACCTGCACAGCCAGGCACACAGAGGCACAGGACACGCCCACTCACACTGTCCACATGACAGGAACTCTCATGATATTGGCCAGAGCCAGGGTGCTCAGGACAGGGGCAGGGCCAGCATTGCTGGTCCAAGCCCAGGATGGGGTCTCCATAGTAGCTGACCTGGCACCTGGGGGCAGTAGCACATGGGGTGGGGCCTGGCCCACTCATCATAACTCCTGCCCAACCCTCCCAGTGGCAGCACTCACCTCCCACAGTGCTGGCCTGTGGTGGCCCCACGGCAGGCCTGGCAGATGCCCGTAAGTGGGTGACACAACTCAGCATGCTCATTACAGGCACAGGGCTGGCAATGTGGGAATCCCCACCAGCCAAGGAGGCAGTGGTCACAACGGCAACCAGCAAGGCCTGGTTGGCATGTGCATTGACCACTTAAGAGGGTTGCAGATGGCACTGGTGGCACCCTCGGCATGGCAGTGGCACTGTGAGGAATGGCAAAGTGATCAAGCCACAAAGGGAAAAGAGATGGCTGACCCCCCCCACTCCAACCCCACCTCACACCACTGGCCCTGAAGGCTTACCACTGTAACCAGTGGGCCCAAAACCATATGTCCCAGGCATACAGTGGTCACAGGTATGACCAATGATGTGGGGACGGCAGGGACATTGCCCACCCAGCAGGGCACATTCGGTGCTCAATGAACCCTGAGGGTGGCACTCACATGCTGGCAGGAGAAAAAGCAAGATCAGATGAGCCTCATGGTACCCCTTAGTCCCCTTACCAAAGGGTGTATACTCACCAAGTCCCCCTCCACAGAGCAAGGCTGAGATACTGCAGACCAGGCAGGTGCAGGCCTCAGGCATGGTGCTGGAGGGGCCCGACCTTGCTGCCTCAATGCAGCCTGCTTGGCGAAACTCCTGCCGTCGCTGCATGGCCCCAGGGTCTATGGACCGCAGCCCTGGCAACTCTTCTACCTGAGGCAGGAGCACAACCTAGCAGGAGGGTGGAGGGCAGTAGATGGGAGCAAGGGGCACAGTGAGTCCAGCTCCACTCGCCAACACCTGCCATCTTTCCTAGCATTGTAGGCCCTCATTGTCCTCTGTTGCTCCACTTCCATTTCCTAATCTCTTTTAAGTCTGTCTCTCCTCCCTCTTTGATGACCCCAATCCAGTCCAGACAATGCCTCCATATTGAGCCTCCCCTTCAAAATATCCATTCTGCTCATGTCTCATCCTTGCTCAAAACTTGTCCATGGGTCCCCACTGCCCCTAAGATAGGTGCAAGACTCCTATCTCACGGACAAGGCCCTAAGAGATCTGACCCATTTCTTCTCACCCTGTATCCTTTGCATGTGCTGTTCCCTCTGCCTCCCTACACTCTCGGCCTATCTCAATTCTATTGGTCCAATTCTAGACCTCTGTGATCTCCGCCCCCAGCTCCAATGCCCCCATTCTGTCCAGTTTTAATTTGTGTCTCCTCCATGTCTCCTCCAGATGTGGGACAGAGCTCCTAGAAGCTCACAGAATCCAGAAGGATGGCACGCCCTGCAGGCCCCCGTACACCCTTAGTCCTCCACAGTCGCAGGGTCATGGAGTAGCGTGTTCCAGGCTCAAAGCAGAAAGATCTTGAGAGAGTCACAGCCCTGTGGGGAGGGGGTGAGGATGGGTAGGTTCAGGAGGTCATGATCACGCAGTCCCAGGATGCTGCATTTCTGTTGCAGAGTTATTGAGTCCAACATTTCAGTATATGATCAATGGAAAAAGACCAACTTCTTTTTTTTTTTTTTTTCTTTTAATTCCATGTGGGTTTTTTTTTATTCTTTTATTTATTTATTTAAATTTTATTTTGATTTGGGTGAAGATTTACAGAGTAAATTCACTTTTCATACAGCAGTTCACATATACTTTGTCTCATGTCATTGACCAAAATTTACAATGCAACAGCTCCCCTCCCACTTCCTCCCCATAGTTACCTCTTTCCAGTGTCCATCCCTCCATACTCTTCTGTGCCCTGAGCTGTCTCCCTGTACATAAGCAGCCCCTCCTTCTCCCATGATTGTTCTCTCCAGGGTGTGTGTCTACTTGAGGTAAATGTTTAACTCACTTGCCTGTTCTTTGTTTGGCTGGAAACCACAGGTGTGGGTTCAATCCCAGACCTGAAGGGCAGCTAGGGGCCATAGTCTCAGTGGTTTCACCAGGCTCTATTGGACCAGCAAACCTGGTCCCCACCTTCTGAAAAAGACCAACTTCTTAAATCCTGCTGTTTTAAATTAGGTCCTGGTTTTGATTGTTCTTTGGCATAACCATATGCCATATCGGGACTTTTCTACTTGGTCTTTGTATTGTTCCAAATGCGTTGGCAGCATAGAGGAGTCTTAGTATTGGGGTCACAGGGTCCTGCCTACCTGAATGCATGGAGGAGGGCTCCCTGGACCAGCTGCTCTGAGGGCAGCACATGGGCACAGCGAGTACTGCTGGGTAAGGACTGGGCATGGACACTGACCAAGGCCTGCCAATCTTCAAGTGCCTGGAGTCAAGGGTTAGGGTCAGCAGACAAACAGTTGCCTCTACCCACCATCTAGCACCACCCAGCCACCCACCTGGCACCCAAGCCACTGACTTGGGTCTCATAGCATAGTACAATGTCATGCTCCAAAGCATGAGACACTGCAGGTGCCAGCAAGGAGAGGCCAGCCCCATCGACCACACGTACAAAGTTCAAGCCATTCCATGGTGCAGGGCCAACCCACTGATGCTGGGGCAGGGGCTCTGCTGGGACCTGCAGTGTAAGATATAGACTCCCATGCCCAGGACTTATGACTCACAAAGCTTGGGCCCCCATCCCTCCAAAGACTCTAGTAACCAGTGACCCCCACCCTACTCCTCAGCCTTCTCACCTTGAGCAGCTGGTGGCTGACGGGCTTGCCAGTCAGGGTGGAAGGCACATCGAGGGTCACGCTGTCTCCGAAGCTGGAGCTGCAGCTGGCCACCAGAGGTTCCTGGGACTTGTGTGCAGTGGAGAGGGGTGGGCCAGGGGGCTCCCTGGGGGTAACTGGAGTATCACTGCCCTCCAACATTCTGGCACAGTCCTTTCCCACCAAAACCAAAACCAAACTCACTGCCATCGAGTCACTTCTGACTCATAGCAACTCCCACTGGGTTTCTGAGGCAGTAAATATTTCCTAATCTCTTTTAAGTCTGTCTCTCCTCCCTCTTTGATGACCCCAATCCAGTCCAGACAATGCCTCCATATCGAGCCTCCCCTCAAAATATCCATTCTGCTCATGTACGAAAGTACATTGCCCATCTTCCTTCCTCAGAGCAACTAGTGGGTTTGAACCTCCAACTTCAGGTTAGCAGTCCAATACCTTAGGCACTACACCACCAGAGCTCCTTTTCTCTCCCACGCCACCCTAGAAATACAGGCTCTATCCAAGATTCCAAACTTTTAAACACAATGACCCCCACCAAGATTCCCAAGCCTGCCCAGCTCCTCCTCCATATAGCCCTTCACGCTATGGGTCTCAGACCACCCTGGATACTCTTTCCTTAGAGTCTTGAGGTCTCAGCCTTGATTTTTCTTGCCCCTGGCCCTTCTGGATACTCACGGGAAGCCAGGGGTTGGCTGGCTGGAGAACCTGGCCAAGCTCAGCCTCAGTTATGGCCTGGTTTAGGACAGCACAGAAATATCCAGATTGGAGTTCATGGCAGCGGCGGCCACGGAGGTGGGAGCAACACAGGCAGAGGCCCTCCCCTGCAGAACACCTGAGCAAGCATGGGAATGGATGAGGGGGCCAGGTCAACTGTGACCCCCCACTACCTGATCACTGACCCTCAGGTCCTGCCCTGTACCTGTTGCTGTAGGCACCCCAAAGTCACAGTCACAGGGCTGACAGCCTGGGGGGTCATTGCTCAGACCCCAGAACTCGGGCTACGGGAGAGAGTGGTTGGGTGAGGGGGTTAAGGACAGGCAATGGGAACTGGATAGGGCCTGTCTCCTGGAAGAAGGGGTGAGGGACTGGGACTGCCTGGTGCAAGGGTTGGAATTGGGGGCAAGAGGAGAGGGGAGTGAGTGGCAGGGCTTGAACACTCCTCTGCCTTCAGATGAAGGGGAAAAAAGGAGACCCTGGTGCACCTCTCTCTGCATAGCTTTACTGAGAAGAGGCAGGAAGGATATGAGGATACAGTAAGGGTTAAACAAATGTTAAACAAAGAGTTCATAATGTTCAAGGAGAGCCTAGAAGAGGTTCAAGCTGTTCCTGGGACTGTCTTCCTCCACACACGTTCACAATGAAACATCTTTAAACCCAGTACATGATACCGTTGTGACCTATTTATTCGCTTTCCCTTCTTATGCTCCTAAAGCTTCCTCCTGAGGGCACATGATGGTTCACTTAGCCAAGGCGGTACTGACCATGGTGACCAGATCAGGGCCTTGGCATCCATCCACAAGCAAGGCTCAGTCTACAGTCACATTGATCATAGCTTTAAAATTGTGAGCTCCTACCTAGAAGCTCAGCACCCAAGGTCAAGGTCAAATCAGGGGCTTGGTCAAGGCTCACCAGACAATGGCTGCAGTCTCGTTCAGAGACAAAGCGTTTGCAATGGCAGGCGCCGCTGGAGGAATCACAGGCATGAGTGCCAGGGACCTGGCCCCGGGGGTCACACCTGCAGGCTAAGGCACAAAACTCTCAGGGTGCTAATGGGGTTATTTGGGGTGATGTGTATTATCAGGACAGTGATTTTGGGCAGAGTAGGGAGTATATAGAGTCACTCACGCTGGCAGCCCTCTGGCTGAGTGGGGCTCAGGCCAGAGTGACCAGGCCAACAGGAGTCACAGGGTTGGCCCCAGACGTGGCCTTTGCAGCGATGTTGCCCAGAGAGAAAACCACAGGTCTCATCTGTGTGAGTATCACACAAACCCCCTTCCAGAGCACCCACGGGGTCACAGTTGCAAGCTATTCAGGGGTCAGAGGTGAGGATAGAGTTAGGTCAGAGGTTACTGTGGATCACAGAGTTGGGATTGGGCTTAGAGAACTCACGTCTGCAAGATTGAGGAGAATGGGGATCCTCCCTGGGATCGTGGGGGAGGAAGGGCCGGCAGAGCTGACAATGGCGCCCAGCTGTATTGTGCTGACATGCATTACATATGCCTCCAGTCACATTGCCAGATGCCAGATACAGGGCTATATCAAAGTGGTAGCTGCGGGCATGCCCATGGCACTCACATTCTGGGGCAGACAGGAGGTAGATATGGGGTGGGCTAACCCATGACAGGTATGGCCTGGCAGAATAGAACATTGCACTTACCCTGGCAGGCATAAGGGTGCCCAGGCTCTGCTGCATGCCATGGATGGTCCTGGTATAGGTCCTGGCAGTGCTCACAATTAGCACCAGCTGTGCAGTGGTGGCAGATGCAAAGGCCATATACCTGGCAGAGAGGAGTGTAGGACGTGTCTGCTGCAGTCCTCCAGCCTGCCCACCTCCCCAGCCACAGGATAGCCCTCTCATGGCTCTCACCATGCCTTCCACGTTGGCTGGGGCTCCTGGTGCGGGCCTGCACTCAGAGGCATGGCCATGGCACAAGCAGCTGCCCTGGGCCATGAGCTCATAGATGGCATAGTAGTATAAAGAGTGTCCCTTGAGGCCCCCTAGGGGCCTGTCACCCAACGTGTGCAGTTTGGAGAAGTTCACACAAAGGTTGGTCACATGCAGGAGCTCTGGGGACACATGGCCAGACCTCAGGTACCTTGGTCCTCACCCCTCCATGGATGGGACAGAGGTGAATAGGGGACCTCCTCCCCATCCTTGGAATCACCTCCTCTGGCATCCATGCTGTGGGGCTCCCTGACCCTGCTGCCCTAAGGGCACCCTCCCAGGATGACCAGAGCCTCCCCTGCAGTGAGTACCCCACCTTTGTATTGAAGATCCCTTTTGCCAGTCCCAATGTTGCTACTGAGCTGAACCTGCACATCCCATTACTTCTTTGACTCTCCATTTAGGTGTCTCCAGGTACCTCAAACCTGCTTTCCCAAAGCAGTAAAGAATTCCACTTCCCAGCCTGTCATCCAAACTAGAAATCTGCCCAGTATATAGTTGAATGATGTAAGGTATTAGTTTGTTTGCTTATTTGAGAAGACAGAGACCTTGTCTGCTCCCCATTGGAGCACTGCCCAGATGATGCTTGGCACAGGCCATGGCTCAATAACCTCTTGTTAAATAAATACATGGATGGAGGGATAGGTCCAGGGCTCTTCTCTCTGCTCCACAGCTCAAGTTAGTTACCAAGCTGAGACTATCTCCTGCATCTATTCTCTGCCAGGCCTCCTTCTCTCCTGAGCAGTGACACAAGCAACAGCTGCCCTAAGAGCCAGTGTGGGGGCTTAGGGTGAGCAGTCAGTTATGCCCATCATCAAGGTGTGTGGACAGTGCCCAGAAGACATAGAGAAAAGGCTAGTTTGGGTTTTGTCCTCCTGCTCTGGTACCCTCCTGGCCTGGCTCTGGACTGCCCTGCTAGGTTATGGTTATGTTGTTGTTGTTGTTGTTATGTGCCGTCAAGTCGGCCCCGACTCATAGCGACCCCTCCTTGGGTTTCCGAGGCAGTATCACTACGGAAGTAGGATTGCCCAACCTTCCTTCCGAGGAGTGGCTGGTGGGTTTGAACCGCCAGCCGTCTGGTTAGCAGTTATATGGGTCTCTTATACCAAGACTTCTGCTTTTCAGGGAAGGGTTCAAATCCAAAGACACTTGGGTGCCACCTAGGGGCAGCTGCAGGGATGGAGGGCACCAACAGAGGCCAAGGCTGTGAATCAGAGGGGGCAAAGATAGAAAGACCAGGACAGGGAGAGTGATGAGGGGTAGTATAGGGGCTGGAGGCCCACAAAGGGGAAAATTATGAAAGACAGTAATGGAAGCAGAGATGAGAGATAGTGATGGGGGTTGGCATGGTAAGCAGTAATGAGGTCCCATGAAGGAGTTTAGCAATGGGGCAGGAGTAAGAGGTAGAGATGGGGACTGCTCCCCACGCCAGTGCCTGTATACTAGGAGGCAGAGATGGGAAACAGGGATGGAGGACCATGAGAGGGAACCACAATAGAAAACCTGGAGCCTCAATAGTGATGGGACAGTGCTGGGGATGAAGGGATAAGGCTGGGGGACTGAGCTGGCATGTCCGTCAACTCTGCCCCATTGGTGCACACCCATAGGAAGAGCTTCACCCCTCCCCGTATCTGGCTTTAATCTGACACGCAAGGGGTACAGGATTGGCTGTGGGGGATGATTACCCTGAATCTCTGGACTGCTTAGGTCCTCCACCTGAATGGCAGGGTCCAGAACCTTGAAAATTACCTGAGGAGAAGAAGCAGGCCTAAGACTCTGACTTCACACCAAGGCCCCACTTCCTCTCCCCCCTGGGCCTGACCTCGCCCTCAGAGGAAGGTTCGATATCCAAATAGCGCTGGTCACAGACAAGATCACCGATCCTGTGGCCTTGGGCAGGAGGATGCCAGGGAAGACACCTGAGCAGTTGTGGGCAAAGTATCGATACACGTGCCAGGAACGGCCATGGTCCACTGAGGGCTCGAGCAGCAGAGCTGCTGGGCAGAATGTCTGGGGACATGAGGGGACCCTTTAGTCACCAGGGGCAAGAGTCACTGGTGGTTATCAGGTGGGGAGGCCACAGGGTCAGAGACTGACTAGCAAGCCTTCAAGAGGGGGCACTGGGTCACCTTGAAAGTCATGATGAGGTTGGTAAAGTAGAAGGCACCCTCTAGGTCCAGTTGGATTGTGACATTCTCCACACCTGCAGCCACAAGGACTGGTCAGAGGGGCTGAGCCCTGACCCCAGACCCACACAAATGGGCCCATTGGCACCCTCACCACTCTCTGCCTGCCACCAGGTCCTCTCGTTGCCATAACCCCTCCGGGAGATCACCTTCTCGATTCTGTGGCCTCGCTGAGCCCAAGAATCACAGAAGAAGCAATTCTCAGAATCCTGGGGAGGGCCCAAAGAAACTGACTGGGCAGGAGGTGCAAGGTTAGGCCCTACTCCAAAATCTCACAGCACAAGCCTCTCCGGCCTCCAGAAATGACCTGGACACTCACAAGGCTGAATTTGTCCAGGACATCCCAGTAACATCACGCCCACCCCCACAAAACTCTCTCTAGAGTCCCAACCCTCCTCCCCACCTGCAGGTGGCTGACAACACAGCAGGATTTGGGGCCACGGTGGCCACAGGTAGTTGAGGCTTGAAGGCTTCTGGCACGACCAACAACCAGGTTGCCAGTAGGTGGATAGCAGCTGCTGCTTGAGCAGCTGGGTGGGGAAAGGGTGTCTGGCACCTCCTGGGCAATGGTCCTGGGAACCTGGACTGGGAGAGCATAGCCTGAGCAGATATCCTAGGGGTACCCCCCCCCCTCATCCCACCCCACAGAGGCCTAGAAATTTCTCCTCCCCTCTCTGGCTGGCTCTCTGGGAAAGAGTTGACCCCTTACCCATCTGTGACAGTAGCAGAAGAACTGGAAGGACGGGGCCCAGAGTGACTGGGGGTCTAGGATATTGGGTGTTGCAATCAGGCCTGAGAGAAAAAATCCAGAGTAGGCTCCAAACTGGGCCCACCCTGCAGGCAGAGTGAGGCCCCCAGGCCAATTCCAATACTTACATTGTGGGTGGAAGCAGAGGTGCCAGAGGCAAGGAGTATGCAGGGTGGTGGGGCCACAGTGCAGCTGGGAGCAACAGAGTCCCCAAAGCCTGGGGAACCAGGAGAGGGGGGTAGTGGTGGATGGGGTAAAGACACACTAAGGAAAAGATATAAATAGCCACCAGATGCAGAAGGGCACCTAAGAAGCATGTAGAGCCTCTCCACAGGTCCGTGGTCCAGGGCAGCTGGCGCTAGCCGGCCCAGATTCAGACAATTCTAAACAGGCAGAAAGGATCCAATTCTCATTCAAATGATGTTCCCACCCCCAGCCCTGAAAAGCTGTCTCCAAGTGCCTCGGGGGAACGTCCCCCTCCTCACCAGTCCCAGAAGCTACCATTCAGCCAGGGCAGCCCAGAGACTTGCAGATGGGCGGGGCATGTAATCCCATTCAGGGCCCAGAGCTCCAGCCCCTCCCCAAAGCAAGAAGGGGTGATTCTGTCCACAATATACAAGCCCCTCCTAGGGTCTGCTGGAGGGGCAAGCTGAGGCCAGATGGCAGGATATGGCAGGTAAGACAACGCACTACTGGTGGAGGGAGGCAGTTGCAGAAACCCTCCTGGATCCTTGGTCAGTGAGGAGCAGCCTCTGTAGCCCCAGAACCCCAGTCCGTGACACAACCCCAAGTCCCTTGGTACCAATGGAGAAAACTGATCTAGTCACTCTCCTGTGAAATCAGGAGGGAAGTGAGGCAGAGGCACTCAGCTGCTTGAGGCCTAGCCATGTCCCAGACAAGCCTGGGCAATGCCGCAAGGTTGTAGCCAGAGGTGGCTGGAGGACAAGGCCAGGCTGTCTACTGGGCCCCTGGGAAACAGTGACAAAAGTCCCCCTTGCTCGTCCTAGGAACCTGCTGGCCAAAAGGTTCCCTATAGAGCTGCTTACTTACTTCCTGCATGGGGCCTGTCTGGATCTCAAATCCGGGAAGCCTCAAGGGGAGTTAATGGCTCTGTCCCTGCACTCAGTGGCTGCCCCACACACAACCACAGAAACCACGTAGGTGCCAGTGCTGCACCTAAGTTGTCACCTATATCTCCCAGAGGGGCCTGGGAGCTGCCCCCTCTCATACTACCCCATCATCCCATCACTCACATTGATGACCTGTGCCAGGCTAGCAGGACCCTCTCTGGCAGGCCTGTTCCTGGACCCACTTTGCCCATCCACTCAAGCTGCCCTGCTGGTAGCTATGCACACAAAAAAGATCATGACGGGTGGGCAGGGACACTGAGCAGTGGAAAGGTATAAAACGTGATTGATGGAACAGTGGACATACAACTTGGAAGAGGAACAAAGTCACAGTGCATCGCGCCAT